CCCGGAATGGAGAAAAGCTGTGAATGAAGAAGTTGCTGCACTAGAAAAGAGTGGAACGTGGATTGTGTCTGATTTGCCCAAGGATATGAGACCAGAAGGATGCAGGTGGTTATTTACGATCAAATGTAAAACAGACGGAAGCATAGATCGGTTAAAAGCCCAACTGATTGCAAAAGGTTATACTCAGTCATACGGAATTGACTACCAAGAGACATTTGCCCCAGTAGCCAAACTGAACTTCATTGGAATCCTACTCTCCATTGCAGTAAACCGAGACTGGCCTCTTATGCAACTTGATGTCAAAAATGCATTCCTTAATGGAGATCTTGAAGAGGAGGTATATATGGATTTACCACCTGGTCTGGAAGGGTCCTTCCCTAGCGGCAAAGTATGCAAGCTCCAAAAATCTTTGTATGGTCTCAAACAATCTCTCTGTGCTTGGTTTGCCCGATTCACCAATTCGGTAATCAAGTGCGGTTATGCTCAAAGCCAGGCTGATCATACAATGTTCACAAAAAGATCCGAGAAGAAGATTGCTATACTTATTGTATATGTTGATGACATCATCCTTACCGGTGATCACACTGAAGAATTGACAAAGCAAAAGAAATTCCTAGCCCATGAATTCGAAATCAAGGACCTCAGAGACTTGAAGTTCTTCTTGGGAATGGAAGTTGCAAGATCCAAAATGGGGATAGCCGTAACTTAAAGGAAGTACACATTGGACCTATTGAAAGAAACTGGTATGCTTGGATGCAAACCAATAGATACTCCAATAGACCCATATAAAAAGATTGAAATAGAGAATGATAGTTTACCTGTCGACAAAGGACGATATCAGCGGCTTGTTGGAAGACTTATTTACTTATCCCACACCAGACCAGACATAAGTTTTTCAGTAAGTATAGTAAGTTAATTCATGAACTGTCCTACCGAGGAACATATGGAAGCTGTCAACCGTATTTTAAGATACTTAAAGATGACACCTGAGAAAGGATTATTGTTCAAAAGGAATGATAGTCAAAAGGTAGAAGTCTTTACTGATGCTGACTAGGCAGAAGATATATCCACCCGACGATCAACCTCTGGGTATTGCTCGTATGTATGCGGCAATCTATTGACATGGAGAAGTAAGAAACAATCGGTGGTATCTCGGTGTAGTGCAGAAGCAGAATACAGAGCACTGACGCTTGGTATTTGTGAAGGAATGTAGATCAAAAGATTTCTCAAGGAGCTTTGAATTATGTGAGAAAATTCTATCAAGATGTTTTGTGACTAGGAGTGTAAACGAACCGAACACATCTATACTCATTCTAGAGACCAAACCGCAGACATTCTCACCAAGGCTCTCCCTAAGTCCAGTTTTGATGAGCTAACCAACAAGTTGGGCATGTACAATCTGTACAACCCACCTTGAGGGGGAGTGTGAAATTACGCTCCTTATTATTATTATTTACTTTAATTCTATTTAGTACTTGCTATATTTAGTCATAGTATAATTCCTTAATTATTGATTTTTATGTTATTCCATAATTATAGGAATTACTTTATTGTAGGAAGATTTCTTTCCTTCTTTTGTTTCTCTTTTACTCACCTATTTATAGGTGAATTATCTATGTATTCAGTGAGAAAAGGTTTATTCAAAAATTCACAGTTTGCATTATACATCTGATTCAAGTCAGCACAAAATCCCATCGATTGGTAGGAATAACAGAACTTAAAGCAGTAGTTAGCATTTCTTCAACTTTTATACACTAGTACTCACCTTGTTGCCAAGATAACCCATTACCCCACGCCCAATGCATGAGAGTCTTAAATGTCTTATATGTTGCACAAGTTCTTTTCTTGCCCACACAGTCACAAAAATCCCCACCATCTGTTTGCTTGCTATGAGGCTGTATCTCCTGTGGCTGCTTCTGCAACTTAATTGAGAAGCTATCTCCATCACCATTGAGTTATTTGGTAAATCTTCCTCCTCACCAGAGTCATCTTCGCTGCTGTAATAGGCATTTTGAGGCCAGAAACACGACTCCCCAGTACCTTTCCTAGCTAATTCTGATGTGCAGTTGCAGGACTTCAGCGACTTTCTCTTCCCCATCATAAAAGTTTTACTGATGGCCTTCAGTGAAAGCTTCTGAAAGAACAATGAATTCCTGGAGCTATTCAAGTAAGGGGATGGGGTATCAGAAGGGGAAGCAGCATCAGATTCTAATGGCCTGTTCAATGCCTGATAAATCAGAGAGAGCCATTTCACAGCTGGATCAGTGTCTTCTATGACAAGCACATTTCCAGCATTCAAAGGGACTATTTCCTGAAAACTAATAGCACCTCAGAAAATGTGAAATAAGGAATTAGAAACTATTGATTCTACCAATATAAGATAATGATATGGTTCATGAAAAATCCATGTAGACTAACATGATACACACCCGAGAACATACAAATCGGAGCTGCCGTTTGCCAGGAGAAAGTTATTTAGATTTAATCCATCGTGAGGGTGTTGTCCGCCAACATTCCATGTTGCAACAAATATTCTATTGCAAATTATAATAGATAAAAGGATTAAGATCAAACATTGAATGCGACAAAGAGAAATTGGGCGGAATAAAGATGAGAGTTTTGCAAGCGATATGATACCTGAAGTTTTGGGTGTTTGGAATATTAGTTAGTGGAGTGGAGGACTCACCACAGGACATGTTTACTGGCCTCAAGTAATATTCTGTTCTTCATTTTTAAACAAGGAAAACAAGGGATAAAAAACAATTCCATGAGAAGAAAATTTTTCCATGGAAGAGCACATATCAGGAATCAAAGAGAAAAACATGCCTGCGAAAGATGGGGCCTCATATGGTTCATCTGCTACTTTAAAAAATAAAAAATAAAATCAGAGAAGAAAAGTTAAAAGTAGAATTTCCAAAATGTTAATGTTGATTATTTAACTCATATGTCTATGCCTAAAGCAAGGTTCAATGATGCAAGAACCTAACACTTAGGGTGCGTTTGGGGGACTTATTCACAGCGGTGGTATTTTGAAAACGCCACCGGCTGTTTGAATACTGTGTTTTACGGGCTTTTTTGAAAATGAAGTTTCCTCCCCGCGATCCGCGTTTCGATCTAGCGAAGGACACTCGCTGCAAGCTCCTCGCTCTCTGCCGTAAGCGCTCACCCTATCTCCTCTCGCCTAAGAGTTTGCCCTCGCCTCGTTGAAGCTCCTCGCTCTCTGCCGCAAGCGCTCACCCTATCTCCTCTCGCCTAAGAGTTTGATTGATCGACCGATCTCCTCTCGTCCTCCTCTCGCTTAAGCGTTCAATCGTCCTCCTCCTCATGCCTAAGCGTTCGATCGTCCCCCTCCTCTCGACTAAGCGTTCGATTGAACCGATCTCCTCTTCTCCTCTCGCCTGAGCGTTCGACCAATCGACTCTCCTCCTCCTCTCGCACAGTCGGAGAACGGGTGGAGCACCTGCGCCGAAGACTCGGTATCCCCTCTCCTTCTCTGACTCGCCTGCTTCTTGTCCTCATCTCTCTTGGCTCGAGCTTGGTAAACTGCTGCATTTTTTTTTGTTATTTTTTTGTTCTTCCCTCTCCTTAGGATGATTCTTTTCTCTCATTTGGATTTATTTGTGCATCTTTTTGTTATTTTATTTTTTTAATCTTTCCTCTCCTTAGATTTGTAAAAATTCAACATGAAACTTTCGTTAGAGCTAGGTCTGCAAACATTTTTACTATTTTCTTACACTTGAATGATTAAGGTGGATCTAACAAATGTGTACTTTTATTTCAGTCATTATATATCATTCTCTAAATTCAACACTTTCCAAACTTGATCATTATAGA